CACCTACGACTACCCATAGGCCCCTAAGTAGTTCCTTTTTGGGAGTACCTTATAGGATTCTAAGTATATACCATAAAACGGAACTACTTGGGGGCCTACGGGTATATACGGGAAGTATCAACACCTACACCCTAGCTCCATCTTAAGCTTCCCCCGAAACTCTGAAGTCTATCTTCCTTCAAATCCCGCAAGCCGAAATTTGCCAAAGATCTTTGTGGCAGCGTTGTCCAAGGTCTCGACGTCCTGGTAGGCTTGCAGGCGATAGCTGATTTACGGTTTAGGGTTTAGGGTTTGCGCTATATTGTGGGAATTGCGAAGAGTTCGATACTGAGGTAAAGTTTCGAACGTCAAGACTGGAATAGCCTAAGCAAGGCAAAATGTCCAAGCTTTATACAGCTTTTGTCAGCATTGGCACGGCATAGGCAAAATGGCCAAGCACAGGTCACTGCATTCCACGAGACCCTAAACCCTAAACACCTTCAATATAAACCCCGCAACAGCAGCTCCTAACACCCCTAAACCCTAAACCCTAAAACCCTAAAGTCGAACAACACAAATGCCGGAGATTCAGCCAGAACCCTGTCTCCAAACCTTGAGCCCTCACAGGGGGCAACTGTCCGTAAGGCTCCACATAGCTCTATCTATCTCTCTCTCTCTCTATATATATATATGTATACATACACATATTTATATATATATATACACACACATAATACTTATGTATACAAATATGTACTTCGGCCTTGCAGCACCTATAAAGGAGCCTCTATAAGGCCTAAGCAAATACTATCTATGTATATGGAACCGTTAGGGTCTCGACCTTTGCAAACACTCCGATGTCTTCTCTCTTGCTGCGGCTTCAGGAGTCAGTGTCGAAATTGAGAACTAGGGTCGTGAGTACTATCTTATCGATGATCTGGGCTGTTTCGCACCAAGCCCTGCACGCTGAAAGGCCTGAATTTCAAGCCATGCAATTCTAAAGCCCCACACCCTCGAACGCAAGCCCATCCGAAAGTCCGGAACCCTCTGCAAAGAATCCCCTACACAAAACCCATAATAAGGACCCACTCATCCAGCAGAAACCCTAAAGCCCATAAACCCTGTAAGCTCTATAAATCCTATACAAACCCCTATAAAGCCCTAAACGCCCGCAACCCCGGCCAAATCCCTTAAATACCCCTTCAATACGGAAGGTTCCTCAACAAGGCCCTTGAACTTGTAGAAGCCCATCGAGCTGGCCCCGTACCTCATGCACAGGCTTTGGGTTTCGGGGGCTTGGGGTTCAGGGGTCTAGGGGGTTTAGTGAGTTTAGGGACTTAGGGTGTAGGGTCTAGGGGATTTCGTGAGTTTAGGGGCTTAGGGTTTTGGGGCTTACGGTTTAGGGCGATAGCTTCTCGCACTGCTGCAGTCATCGCCCTATCGGGCGTGGAGCTTTGGATTGCGGCTGAAACCCTAAACCCCAACCTCTGAAACCCTAAACCCCAAACTCTGAAACCCTAAACCCCAAACCCTGAAACCCTAAGCGGGTTCAAGGTTCAATCCGCGCAGTGCGAGAGTCACATTAAGGATGAATGGGTTACCCAGAGAGCCCAATACCCCTTAATTAAGGAATATACCTTAAATTACAGGGGCGTTAATCTTATATGATTTAAGGTATATTCCTTAAATAAGGGGTATTGGGCTTTCTGGGTAGACCGTTTTAGTTTTAGGGTTCCTTTAAAGGGATGCATATAAGCATCTACAAAGGGGGGTTGAGCACTTCAGGCGCGGCATTTTTCCTGACCCTCTGAACTCTTGGCTTCAAGGCTTTCGGACCTGACAAATCGACGCAGGGAGTCTGAGCCCTTAAGAGGGCTAAGGTTTCGGAGATGCTTGGAATTGAGCTCCTCTACCAAAAGAACGGGGTGGCCTGATATGGGGCCTGCATGATAGAAAAAAAAGCACTGAGGCAGAAACTGTAAGGATTCCCGAGTTTAGCTCAGCTGCTTGTCAACGGCCTCCTGGGTCAGCAGCATCGCTGCTGCTATGGGGAACCTGTCCGACGTCAGGTTCAGCATTTGGGGGTTTCGGAAAATAGGGGACCCTAACAGAGTACCCTAAATAGTAGGATCCTTATTATGAGGACCCCAAATAAGGTACCCCCTTAGTTTCGGAAACTCCCATTTGGGTTTATAGGGATTAGGGGATGGTGTGGAAGTGTCGGACGCAGCCCCCAAGTGGGGTGTAAAGATGTAAAGGATAGCTCGAGCCTCGGGACACTGAAGTCTACGACGCTATCGCTTCGCATGCTGAGTACTCTCTGGATAAATCCCTGCATAGCCATTAGAAAGAGTTTAGGGGTCTTCAACAACTCTAAATGCGACAAGGAACTTGAACGAATTTGTGATTTTGACTGGCTACTCACACCTCCAACTTACATTGCAGGACTGGTGATGCAGCCCCTCGCCAACCAGCCTTATAACCCTTAAAGCCTATAACCCTAAAACCTAAACCCTAAACCCAAGCCTAAACCTGTTCATTCCAATCTCTCCCAAAGACTCCAACACCCCTCAAGCAAGGAATATACAGGTATTCTCATTAGGGTCTCCGATTATACTTGTCAGGTATATTCCTAGATATCCCTCAACCCTAAACTCCAAACCCTAAACCCTAACCTAAAACCTAAACACAGGATTCAAGGGCTTTTAGGAGTCTCCGAGGTCTCTCCAAACGCCGAGCCCGGGGGCTCTGGATTTCCATGCAGAGGCGTGCAATGCTCAAAGACCTCCTTCGTGAGGTAGTCCCGCCTCTTCGTTTGGGGTGTAGGGTTTATTTTTGTGTTTAGGGTTTAGGGTGTAGGGTTTTTTTTGTTTAGGGTTTGGGGTTTAGGGTTTCGGGGTGTAGGGTTCTGAAAATGCTGTTACAGTTTTGCAAGCCGCGCCCAAAAAAGGTTCGGGCCTTCTAATCATCGACCTAATATAGGAGGCCAGAATGCTTAAAGTTCTCCCACTGGCTAGATAAGTTAAGTGTGTTGTTAAAAAGACTCTCTGTGTGTGTTGATTCTGCTCATTTTGGTATTTGCCTTGTGCTTTCGTAGATGAAGAGTGGTAAAGATACATCTTGTTATTTCCTGTGTGCTGGCCTCTGTTCGGCCTTTTTGGGGGTTCTAGAGTTTTTGACATCTTGTATGTGCAACCTAAACCCTAAACCCTAAACCCTAGACCCTAAACCCTAAACCGCAACTAGGTCTTAGGCGCCTTACGGCGCCTTCGGGTCTAGGGCTTGAGGGATGAAGGTTTAGGGTCTGGGGACTTGGGAGTGTTCAGGATCAGATCTGTCTCTCCAAAACCCTAAACCCGAAACCCTACACCGTAAGGCTTAGGAGTTTAGGGTCTAGGGCCCTAAACCCCAAACCCTAAGGTTTAAGAGCTTAGGGTTTATAAACCCTAAACCATAATCCGTAAGGTTTAAGAGTTTAGGGTTTTGTTTTGGGTCTATAAACCCTAAACCCTAAACCGTAAGCTTTAAGAGTTTAGGGTGTGGGGCTGGCGGTCTTACCCGTGCTCGTGGAAGAACGGCGGCATGGGCTTCGGGGAGCTAAAGGTTCAAAGTACTTCGGGTGCTTCCGACAATTAGGGTAGGTAATATAGGAGCCAACAGAACTAGTTAGATTTGGGGGATATGTTATATTATAAGTTAGTACTGGTTGTGGTAGAGTTATGAATCGGAACCCTAAGGAATCATCGTGCTAACTTTTCCGGCCTCTACATCCGGCTTAGGCGTTAAGATGGTATAGGCTCTTAGAGATTTATAGGCTAGTTATGATACAAAGCTAGAAGGAACCCTAAGGAATAATGTTTGCAGGAGGCTTGGGATGGTTAGCCCCACCAGACCCAAGACTCCAACACCCCGTAAATTTCTTAAATCCTTAAGGAATATATACCGTAAATTATACTTGGAACCCCAAGAAGAGTCAGGGTATACGCCTTAGTTAGAGGGTTTTGGAGGCATGGGTAATCATTACCTCAAGGACACTAACTATGGGAATTATGGTAAGTTCCTTACAGTGGGGTAATGCAGGATTTATATCATCAGCTGTAGTAATTCAAAGTTCCGGGGTATACTATATATACTAGACTGTAACTATAAGGAGACATTATCATCCTAAACCCTAAACCCTAAACCCTTATACCCTTATAAACCCTAAACCCCTAAACCCCTTAATATCATCAACCATAGCGGCGAAGCCTCCCGAGCTCGTTGGCGAAGCGCTTGCCACCACAGAGAAGGATCGCACCGCAGCCTTCGGCAAAGGGCTTCGGATGACATCGGGGTTGAAATAGTTGCAATAGGGTTTAGGGTTTAGGGGGGCATATTATAAGCTTTTTCAGCTAGGGCTCCATCTACCTAGACCCTACAGACTGTGGTGTCTTTCTTTTTGGATAACTGGCTTTGTTGTGAGGATCCTAGAGTGCGACTATGTGTTGGGGGTCTAGGTAGAACCTGGTGGCTGGGACATCCTAAAGTTAATGCTTAGTTATTATCATTATGAGCCGACCTCAAGGGGGTTGAGGGCATTTGAAAGACCCTGGTTGCAAGTTGATGGTGCGTTGCAGGATTGATGCACATGTCAGCTCATCGAAACAAGCTCAACAATACTTTGCAGAGAGACTTGTGTGTTGGGACTTCCCAGCACTGGTGAGTCGGGGTTGATGAGCTTGTTCAAAGTAGTTGAGAGGACTGGTGGGACATGTTTTGGAAGTATTTTGGGCTTCTCCAAACCCTCAGACCCAACATAGAGTTGAAGCTTGATTTATTTTGCTATCTACAAGGTTCAGGGGCATGGCCTGCGCTTCTGGAAAGCTGTAATACACTTGTTGGACCAGTTCCGACATGCGAGGCCAGCTGGATCACCAAACAACAAGCTACGATCACCCAACTTAGACTGCGATAGAATTCGTCAGCTTCAATCATACAGTCAGAGATACTTGGGACTCCTGGAACAATCACAACCCGCTGGCCTCGCAGTGCTTCCGGTGCAAGGAACTTGGTGTGGAAGTTCGGCTGCTTGACTTCCAGAAAGCCTTTCGACGAAGGGTGGGTGCAGGGCTTAAGTCGCTTTAACCTTCGAGCCCTAACCTTGGGGCCCGAACAATCCTCAGGCTGTTAGGCCGCCGAGCTTATTCCCAAAAGCAGCATGATTTTGAGGTATTGGCCCAGCATGGCAAAACTTGAAGAGATTGTCATGCCCTAGATGTATATGTTGCACGAACATGTATATTCGACAGAAATGAGTTGTAGAACGAAAGTAACAAAGGGCACTAAATTCTTACAGACCTTATATAATAGTGTTCTTAAAGCTCCTTTAACATGACGCAACATTATGATACTCTCTAAAGACGCCTTAAGAACCTTAGAGAACCCCGCAAAGGGATCCTTTTTTGAATTATTCAGGCCTGTGTTCACCCTACCTCCACTCTGGACTCCCAGCCTGTGGGGTGGATTTGAACCTTGTCCATCAGCGTCGTCTGGGCACCGAGATCCTGTTTCTACAGATCTTGCGGATGCTTCTGCTACGTGTTTTTTTCGCGGCCTTCAAGAAGGCCCAAACAAAAGCAGTCTCATGTCCCGAGATGTTTGTCGTTTGGGAGTAGGCTCTCTGAGGGCTTTCAAGGATCCTGTCTCTGCGGTTTCGAGGTGCATTATGCCATAATTGCACATGGATACTAGCGAGGGGCCTTATAGCAATTGGAAAAGAGTCTTGGGGGGTACACTGTAGTAGTGATAAAAGGCATTGCAGGGGAGGCGATCACTTCATGCACAAGCCTCTGTGGCACATGATCCTCCCCGGTTGATGGGTTCGTACGCTACCAGTACGATCGCTACCAACACCCAAAACCCTAAAAGCCTCAACTCTAAACCGCACCTGGAGGCCAGCACCGGGATATCAAAAACTAAGAAACCCCGATGCTGTACAGCCTTCATTTCTCAGATGCCGACGCGTCTGGGAAGTTTCTTTAATTAAAGGACGGTGCCAAAGCGCGAGCAACTATAAAGGACACCCTCATCTTGCTCCGTCTGAGAGACTTAAGTTGTCTGAAAACGCCATAAGGACAAGCCGCTGAGTTCCGTTCAACCTTTGCAATGCGCTTCTCAAACTCATCAAGCTCGTTTTCCAGCACGCCGGTGGGTCGGTCATCGAGACCGTTTGCATACGGTGGTGTTGTAGTCGTGGCTGGTGTGAAGGAGCCCCTTGCTGAATCATTTTTACGAATATACTCTCCTGTTCTTGCCGCAGCACGGATGCCTCAGAAGGATGCGAAATGTTGCATTTACTTGGAGGCAGTATGAGGTTTCGTTCGGCCTCAGCTGCCCTAAACCCTAAACCCTCAGCTACGTTCAGGTGATCCTGTCCTGTTGCAGGAGGGCCTTGATAACGTCGCCTGTTGCGAAAGGCCCGTTCCTCGAAGACCGCGGCAAGCGTAGTCTTTGGCGTGTGGCAGTGTGCATTTAGGGTCTCGGAAATGGAAAGATTTGCTTGAGGATGCTGTGTTGTTGTCCTGCTGGATGTCAGCCAGAAGCCTAGGGTACAGCATGTCTGGATCCAAGAACTACCCTCAGCGAGAGACTCCCCAAACACAGTCTCGGCAACATGAGCCCTGAACTCGACCCACTGCAACCCTACACCCTAAGAAACCCTAAATCCAAACCCCTAAAGTCCTAAAGGGAACCCAATTTTAGCTTACGGAGCCCTCTAATTTAACCCTTATAGGTATTTACCCCCTAAACCCTAAACCCTAAACCCTAAACCCTAACCTCTAGAAAACTCTCAACCCTAAACCCTAAAACCCTAAACTCTAGGAAACTCTAAACCCCCCCTTTTCGACTCCGAAGCCCAGGGTCCTAAAGGGAACCCAATTCAGAATTATAGAGCCCTGCGGTTGACGATATATTTATTTTAAATCCTGCATTACCCATTATAAGGAATATACCATAATTCCCATAGTTTGGGGTCCTTAAGGTCATTCAGGATTTATATCATCAACAGTAATATGACCCTTATAGCTATCACCCGGCTTTCGACTCGAAGCCCAGGGTCGTGGTCGGCAGCTTGGCCAGCTCCGGAGTGAAGCGATCCAGCAGGGAGCGCTCCTCGAAGTGCCGGTTTAGGGGGGGGGGGGTTAGGGGTTTAGGGTTTAGGGTTTTTTAGAGGTTTAGGGGTTAGGGGTTTAGGGTTTAGGGTTTAGGGGGTTTAGGGGGTTTGGGGTTTAGGGGTTTAGGGTTTTAGGGTTTGGGGGGTTTGGGGGGTTTAGGGGTTTAGGGTTTAGGGTTTGGGGTTTAGGGTTCAGTAGGGTTTAGGGTTTAGGGGTGATGGATGTATAACCCTTACCGTAAAAAGGACTCATATGTTTTAAGGCTTTTTGGGCCCAAAGACCCAATTATAGAAGGCTTTCGGGCTGTTTTGATGCTAAGGGTAGATGTGTGTACCTAGGTTTAGGGTTTAGGGTTACACATGCATCACTAACGCATTGGATAATTGCGGACATATAAGAGGAGGAGCAGTACTAGAAGCAGTGGCCACAACAACTGGAGCAGCAATGTCGTAATGACTCCTTCCTCTACGTTTCTGCAAGCTGTCACCATCGCTACACTGCCTCCCTGCACTGGCAGTTCTGCAGATGCCTATGCTCCCGATGGTTTCATATGTCATCCGGGAACGTGAGTTTACTTAAACACCTGCATATGCCCTGGCAATCCAAAAAGTGCTGTGTGTCTGCATCCATGCTCAGTGACGCCGCTGCTGCTGCCGCCGTCGCGGCTGCTGCCGCCGCTGCTGCTGCTGCTGCTTTCCATATGCCTCCGAACTACAGCGGTCCTGGTGGTCGTTCGCATAGCCTGCTCAATTTGCGTGCATGCTTTAGGGGCAGGGCTCCGCATAACATCTAGAGCTCCCAGTTTCGGCTAGAGGGCTTCCGATTCAAGGGCAAGCATTCTGAATCCCAGAGCTGTTGCACACCAAGACCCTGAAGCGCTAGACATGCGGAGTTCAAGAGCATGAGAGAATAAGCTCGAACGAGCTACGCGGCTGAACCTCGTCAGATGCAAAAGCGGAAGCAAGCCGTCGCCATCTCTTGCGTTCCATCTGTCTGTCCGTCGTGGTCCTCTCTCTCAGTCTCCCCGCTCGCCCTCTCTCTCTTTCTCTCCCTCTGCCTTCGGAATGGCCGGCGGTTTAAAATTCGTCCCCAAGCCCTATGTATTTTCTGCCCTGAACCCAAATCCCAACCCCTAGATGCTGGCACTTTCGCTTTGCCGTTGGCCCCTGCCTCCCGCAGCCAGCACCACTGTGCCAAAGAGACCTGGGGCTGACACAGGCATACTGGGATCTTGCCACGGAACTCATTAAGCTGGCATAGTTTGTATAGGTCCTTTAAGGGTTCTATAAGAGTTTAGGGTTTCAGGAATCTATTTTGAGTTAGCAGAAGAGAGTTCTATAGTACATGGTAAGGCTTCCTGATGATGGTAACTTAACCCGTGAGCGCTAAACCCCAAACCCTGAATCCTAAACCCAGTATAGGGCGTTCAGAGTCCAGGGCTCAAGGCTTAGCTTTCGAGATCTTTAGACAACAAGGAAAGATTATATTATAGTGATATAGTGTATGGGTTTAGGGGTTTAGGGTTTAAGTTTTAGGGTTTAGGGGATATCGCGTACGGTTTTTACCTTCAAGACTTTGCGGTTTGGGTTTTGGTGCTGCGGGTGTTTGGATCACCTCAGTCAGAGCTGGATTTACCAAGTCACCGAGCTGCTAAGTGATCAAAGCTCTGTAACTGGAGCCGACGGATGCGTCCCTAAACCCTAAAACCCTAAACACTAAACCCTAAAACCCTAAAACCCTAAACCCTAGACCCTAAACACTAAGTGTTCGAAGCCCGTCGAAACCGGCGGCCACCTTTAGCCGACAAGCATGGAAGCCTGGAAGCTCTTTGGCTTGATCTCTACCCATAGGCCCCTAAGTAGTTCCTTTTTCTAGTTCATATATAGAACCCTATAAGGTAATCCCAAAAAGGAACTACTTAGGGGCCTATGGGTATCCTCTGAGCCCTGAATCTTTTGCAGAACTCCATAAAGGCCTGCTGGTACATCTAAACATCCTGGAGATGGCAGCCGAAGCGGCTGTGTGTAGCGCCCGCTTCGTCGGAGTACTTCAAACCCACTGCCCGTCGGCCGTCCATGATTAGCTCCTCAGGTAACGTTCTCTGAGGTGGTTTTAGGGTTTAGGGTTGGCATGTCCTAGAGGCTCGACTGCACACCTTAATTACCGGCTTTCAAGGGCCAAACTCTCAAAGCTTACCTAGATACTCAACCCTCCATGCAGGATCTCAGCAAGTCCTGCATTCCAAGATACCCAAAACCCAGCGCGACCTGTCGTCGTTCTGATATGTGCATATAGACTCGGAAGCCCAAATGCGCAAACAAAAAACGCTCCCACCAGAGCCGCAGAGCTGAACCCCAAAACCCCAAAGCCGTGACGTCAGCCTCAACTTAACCCTGAAGCCTCGAGGGCTTAAGGGTTTAAACTTAGCTGCCCAGTACCCTGGCCCAAAAAGTTTCAACTTTTCTTTAATAGCAGGGGATTTAATATACCAACAAGTTTAAAGTTTACCTATTGGGCTCCTAAGTAAACGGGTTGCATATACCCACTGCTTTATAATTACACGTAACACATAAGAAAACTTGTAGGGTCTGGGCCTAAGGAATTTCATGAGCTGAGACTCTCTGGCTCCTTCCCGGGGCCGTCTAGCATCCACCCTAGAGTCCCGAAAAGGATGGGATCAGGATTTGTCTGAGTTCTGATTTTGCATCCCGGTTTAGGGTTTAGCATTTAGGGTTTGGGATCACAGAAAAGGAGTATCTGAAAGGCTCTCCATTCTGACAGGGAGAAGGGTAGAACGCATGGACACCCAGCTCCCACAGCTTGCTGGCCCTAAGCCCGAAGAAAGTAACCTGGGACTCTAATTACCTACAGTTTTTGATGGGCTCTACCTACTAATTAATGGGGCCATGCCTTGTTAAAGTGTAGGTAAAGAGAGTTACAGGAAGGCCCCAAGACCTTCCACCCTGAATCCAAAACCCCGAAGCCTAAGACCCTAGAATCCAAAACCCCTCAGCCTCTGAACCCTAACCCCCTAAACCCTAAGCCCCCAATCCCTAATCCCTAAACCCTAACTCCCTAAACCCTATAAGCCCTAATCCCTAAACCCTGAACCCTAACCCCCTAAACCCTAAACTCCTAAGCCCTATAATAAACTATGTAAACTAGATGTGGCCGTGCTCTCCTGAAAAGCCGACTTCGTGTGCACCCGGACCGAGTCTTTGAGATCCGTTTCGATAATCTTCCTGCCGGGCACTTCTGCCTTTGGGGCTTAGTTTGAGTTTAGGGTTTAGGGTTTGGGGTTTCGGGTTTAAGGTGGCCGGGCACTTCTGTCTTTAAGGCTTCGGATTTGATAGGTTTGGGGCATTTCTGTCTTTGGTGTTTCGGGTTTCAGGCTTCGGGTTTAGAGCTTGTTTAGGCCTCGCAAGCTCGTAAGGAGAGAAGGCTCTCAGCACTCAAACGACCCAAAATGACAAAGAACAAACCATTACCATTGTTGTAAATATTGTTGTTTCGGCCCCAATCTTAGAGCTTTCTGCAACTCAATTTGCCAGAATCTGTGGCCTACTCGCATTGGCGTCCGGGTGTGTCAAGGAGATCTGCTTTGAGTTCCGCACACGCTTCGTTTGCTTGCTGATCTGAGGATGAGTGTCCCTGCCTCTTTTGTCTTCTTTTGTTACGGCTCGAAAGGCAGGACAGGAGAAATGGCACACTTAAGAAGGGAAAGCGGTGCCTAATTTCTGGGACATGGGGAGACAGCACTGAGCAATGTTCGAACACTTAGTTAGTCAGACACCCTTCAGCCTTTAGCCCTAAACCCATGGCCCGGGCCCCCAAACTTACTGCAACCCCATTCTTCGGCTTCACCAAAGGGTCCTAAGGACCTATCTTAGTAGAATGTAGGGTCTCTATTAATTAGTAGGATTACGATTATGATTTGGGAAAGTATCCCGCCACAACAGTACCTAGCACTCTAGCTGTGGGTAAGTATGAAGCATGCCTGAAAGCCATGTCCTGAGGCTGCTGATCAGCGTCCATCCGACAGGCTGTGGCTTGCCCTCTGCTGTGTGAGGGAAGCGATGTGTGCCTTCGAAGGGGTTCAGCTTCGGGTTAGGGCTTTTGAGTTTTGGGGTTAGGGTTTAGGGGTTTAGGGTTTAGGGTTTAGGGTTTAGGGGTTTAGGGCTTAGGGTTTAGTTTAGGCTTCTGGCTAGAGGGTTTAGGCTCTAGGGGCCTTTCCGATCAGTCGATCTCAGCAGAAACAACCTTCGCCTGTACACCAGAAGCCGCGACAGTGAGGAACCACATAGCATGTGTTGGGAATAGCTATGCATGTACACACACACACATATATATATATACATATATATATATATATATACATACTTATGTACAATATGCACACGGGCCACCCGTGACAGTGATCAGAGTTGCTTTGCCGAGCACATGAAGCGCAGTACAGGCTGTACCCAGCAACCCTAAAACCCTAAACAATAAAGCGTTACCAGCCAAGGGACGCTGTGTGCTGTGGCCACCGAGCTGAACAACATCTGTCAGCCCGAGGCCTTTTCAGAAGTCTTTTAGGTTTGGGGCGTTTGGTTTAGGGCTTTAGGGCTCTTGGGGTGTGGATATCAGGGTTTAGGGTACAGAATCCTAGTGTTTAGGTTTTGAGGGGGTGACATCATGCACTCCGGGGTGATAGGAAAGGCTATCGAGCTTCAAGGCTTTATGGGGCGTTGAGGTCTCAGCGCGCCAGGTTTTCTGCATGTTAGCTTTATTCCAACAGCTTGTGGCTCCTGGATGGTCAGGGGGAGTGTGCCAAAGGCTGTTGATCAAGATTGTGTGCTGCAGTTGAGACAACATCTGGGTTGTTCTGTAAATCCGGAACAGCAATGGTCGGTGGAAGGCATGGTTGTCTCCAAGGCCATGGAACCTCCTTGTTCTCCCGTGCATAATGCGCTTCTACACGCACAAAGTCTCGCCAACAGGGTGCCATGATCGAGGATTTTCAGGGTTTTATGTTGTGGGCTGCAGGATGTCATGAGCAGTACATTCTTGGGCTCTATCTTCTCACTGGTTCCAAAGTGCCCCCTCGGACTCGTCGGACCGTAACGAGAAAGCCTAGACAGCGCAGGCGAAGGTGCGAAACAGCATGAAGCCGCTCAACTACGAAACACCGCAGCAAAACCCCCCTAAACCCTAAACCCCTAAACCCTAAACCGTGTAAGCCCTAAGCCCTAAACCCTACACCCTAAACCCTAAACCCACACAGTGTAAACCATATCCCCATATCCCGGCTTAGCTTCTCTTTAAGTCTTTGCAGCCCCCCTGCCTGGTCCGATCTGAGCCACGACTCTCAAACCTAGCAACTAAGACCCTGAAGCCTAACCCTAAGGCTCAAAATAGCCCAAAAGCCTTATATAATAGGGTCTTTGGGCCCAAAAGCCTTAAAATATGGGTCCAGAGAGCCTTAAGCCTAAGAATTTGTGTATAGATTTCAAAACCAGCATTCCCGAACCCTGCTTCTTGCGGCTGACGTCGCCCAGACTTGTTAACCTCACCGACTTCAAGAAACTGAAGGTGCACTGTCTTACCTATAGTCTCCATTGTAGATCCGTTTTTTGGGTAAGCCAACTCCTTTTTTTGGACCCTACAATAGCACAAAAAGGAACTGCAATGGAGATTGTAGGTACGGGGTCTGTCTTACATGTCATGCAGCCGAGCCGTCTATTTACGGACTTTGTGCATTACTAACGGCTTGATGTTGAGGAGTTAAGGTCTTTCAGGATTTTGGACTCGTGACTAACGTTAGCGGGTGAAGCAGTAAATTTCGGATGGAGGCAGGACTCGTTTCGAGAATGTGAAGACGAATGATCAGGATTGCGACTCAACAGCACCAGGCAAAGGCGGGCAAAGGTTGCGTTCAAGCGCGATGGTATCCTCCAGGTGTCTGTTCTCTCACCACAAATCTGATCTGGAAGGGGAGCTCATGGAGGATGTCAGACCGATAAACACGTGGCTATTGGTACATTACAAGAACAATGTGGCGTGTGTCAGTAGCACCACCTAGTCTACGGTCACGTGTCAGTCTTCTTATCGATCGATCTCCATTTCTACCTCTATCTCGCTTCCATTACCATCGTCTCCACCGTGGTCGAGTCTCCAACTCGCCATTTCGATAGGCGCTTGGCTAGGACTCCAGGGAATGTTAAAGGGAACCACGTTTCGGCGCAGGCTTCTTCGTCTGTATTCATGTATCTAAACCCAAGAAGAACCAACACCTCAAACCTAAACCCTCCGACCCTGAGACCCTGAAACCTAAACTCCAGACCCCTCGCGACCCTAAGCCCTGGCGACCCCCGACTCTGATCGGTCTAGGGTTTAGGGGGTTTCTCCGAGGCTCCAACATTCGAATTCAAAAAACACCGACAACCCAGAACAAACAAACAAACTAACTAACTAACTACTGGTAACTAACTAACTAACTAACACATAAACACACAAACACAAACAACTGTACCGAAATCCTACCTTAACCCTTGAGACCCATAAGAATAACCCTAAACCCTAAACCC